TGGGCCGTCGCTGTGGTTGACCTGGCCGGGAAATTGTGGCCCTCCGCGACGGGCCTTGCCGGTACCTCTGCCGCAGAAGGTGTGTGCCCACGGCACGGCGGATGGCGGATGTTTCCGGCTGTGCCCGCCGGGCCGAGTCGGGGGGGCGGTAGCTGGAAGCAAAAAGGTCGCGCTGGCGTCGCTTGGTGCATGCGCGGGGTGCGAGGCCCAGGGAACCGTCACTCGACCGCCGCTCCCGGCATGCCGTGCGCGGGAGCGATGTACACTGGGTTGTGTAGTGGTGTGGGCAGCAGGGAGGGTGTGTAGGTGCCTTCCCTTCCCGAGAGGAATCGCTGCTGGGAATTCTGAATGGCGGCTGACGCTACCGCGGGCGGCAAGACGCGATTTCACGTGCCTAGCCACTCGGCCTCTCAGGCGCCTTCTGTCACGCTTGTAAAACCAGGGGGGAATGTAGGCGAGTCTGTTAGTCTGATTTACACTTTCTTTGAAGTACCTGGGTTAGAAAAGCGGTGTTTTGAAGCTCTGTACTGAACACAACCTTTAAGGAAGCTGGAGGGAGTCTTCTTACGTGAGCATATACTGGGAAGGGGGAATGGATTCAAAGAAAGAGAACAAGTTTAGATGAGATATTAGGAAAAAAAAATTCTTTACTGAGAGGATGTGAGACACCGGAAGAGGTTGCCCAGGAAAGCTGTCTGTCCCATTCCTGGAAGTGTTCGAGCACAAGTGAGTTTGGGGCTGCGAGTAGCATGTAGCAGTTTGGAAGTTTGAAGTCCATCCCAAACCACTCTGTGACGGTGATTCAGGGTTCCACAGGCAATTTCTGTTTCTTGTAGGAACAGCAGTCAGAGGTAGAGGAATTGGTCAAAAACTGGACTAAACGAACAGTTTTGCAGTTAGGATTGTGAGAAAATGGGCACTAAAGGATGAAATAGCTGAGTATTAGCAGATATGACTATTTTGGCTAAGCCACTAAGCAAAAAGACCATTGGTTATATGGAAATTTCATTCTCTTTGTAAAAGTACTTTCTAGTATATACTTTTTGAGTTTCAAAGGTATTAGAAAATGGATAGCTAATTTTATGCCTTTGATTTTTAGACTACCAGATGCATTATGAGTATATGAGACATAGCATATGGATTACCTGAATAGATAAGAAAACCAGAAAATTTTATAAATTGTTTTTTTCAGAGCTGTTTTTTTTGGCATTTTTTAGGAGTCAGCCAAACAAAGTAAATTAGGTAGTGGGGGAAAAGATTAGTAAAGGCATAGGAAACTAAATATCCATGAAGGAAGCTAATATTAGGCAGAAATCCAGCAGACTTCAGCACTTAATAGTTTGCTGGATCAGAATCTTACTAATTATAATACTAAATTAATGTATGTGGGTGCTACATAGCACATTCTTTCTTCATTGGCTTACCTAAGCTCTTCAAAAGGCTTATAACAGAAACTGCCATTGCAGAAATGTGGATACTGTGTCTGCTTAGCTGAAGAGTATGTTGTGGTCCTGCTTAGAAGTATCTTGTTGCTGTGCAACTTCATTTTACTAAAATGGGCAATTTTGGGCTTCATGGAGAATATTTTCTTCAAGCTGGAAGAATAAAGATTGTTCTGTAAGATCTTTTCCCATGTGTGAAAGTCTGTGTCAAGCCAAAAGAGTCCATCATCCCTATGGTTAAGTGACAGGTCATACTTGGCTACTTTTGACTTCAGGTGACTTAAGTGCAGAACTGGCCTTGAGGAAACCCGATTAAAACTTAACTTGAGTGTGTCCCCCTGGCAGATGGGATATTTTAATTGCCCTTCACCAATGTTCTTTCACTCACAGAAATACTTGTTAATTGGCTTTTTTTAAACAACAGAAACATGAATTTACTTCATGGTAGCCTCACCTGCTTTTCTGCTGTTAGCTAACAAATTTACCAGCACATGCTGTCAGTTGTAAATTTACAGGAAACTAATGTGTCAGAACAGTCCTGTGTTCTGGCTCCTCTCCTTCCCTGTTCTGAAACACCCTCTTTCTTTACAGGCTAGATCGTGGTGTTGGAAAGTACATCTGTGTTAGTTATCTCAGGTATGAAAATTTTACTTTATAACACAACTGCTGTATGACAGACTTGGCTTATTTTGAAAACTAGCTCTAGGTTGTATAAAAAGAAGTATTCAGTGAGGCAAAAGTCTTGTCACATTTTGAATGGGAAGTTCCTGGCATGCATTTGCCATTGCTACCAGCAGTGCTTAGCTCAGGGTGCAGTTCCAAAAATAACATATAGCATTTTCTTTTCTGTGAGGAAAGGATGAAATGAAAGTGGATATAATTGCTCTTATGAGATCTTTATCTCCTTCCCACCACCAGCGTAGTAAAGGTAGATGAGAATCTATAAATTGAAAAATAGACATTTTGTTTTACACATACTGTTTTCTGATAGCATCACCACATAATGAGATGATGTTGGTTACAGAGTGACTGAATACTGTCACCCATAATTATAAGCCACTTAGCACATATGGCAGACAAACTATTTACTTTTTTAGCAGGCTACATATTGTCACAATCTGGCACTGGAACAGTAGCAGGATAAGGAAGAAGTTACTTAATGCTCTGGGTAGCCAGCATTCACTATGAAATTATAACATAGTTGTATGTTATAGTTGGAGCAGACCCAAGCTTGACCCTGCTCCTGCAGAGAGCAGGATTAAACTTCTGCTTTGTCTATGCTGCTGGAACAGATTTGAAAAAAAACAAACCACTCAAATCATATGGAGGTTGCAACAATAATCCTGCCTGTGAATGTTTTGATTTTCATTATTACACAATTATTTTGGTGCTATTCTTGCTAAACCCAAATATATTCTGTATCAGTGGCCCATTTTCCTAATGACATTATTGCTTATTGATGTTCTCAGGGAAGTCAGCCCATGTCAAGGAACAAATTGTTACCTCACATGCTGAGTCTGGTTTGGAATTTCAAAATCTAATTGTCTGATTAATTACTGAAAAAAATTAATTTATATTAGTTTCTCTCTGGGAAGCTGGTTTTTTTCCTATTTGCCTATGTAGATTTTCTCAACTGAGGTGGATCTTTGAACAATCTCCAGTACAACTGAATTTGAGAGGTATCCAACAATGAGAATTTCTTTCTCTCTGATACCATTTCCTTTCCCTGTCCAATGAGTGTAGTAGAAGTCTCCATTGTGTGGAAATTTTAAAATATAGTTTGACAAAACCAACTCTGCTTAGAACAAAATTAATGTTTCAAGCAGTGTTCCTTGTTGCTAAAGTTGACTGTGGATAGTGGATGTGTATAGCCTCTTCTTAGAGGCTACATAACCAGGGTGCTTCTTAGCTACAAAGTAAAAACTTTAAGAAGTGCTTCTTTGACAATTTATCTAATAAATTCTGTGCATTTTGTTCAGATTTGCAATGGTTCGTAGTGGAAAAAGTGGTGGGCTCCACCTGAAGCAGATTGCATACTACAAACAAACAGGGGAATATTATCCCACAACATTATCAAGTGAAAGAAGTGGAATCAGGAAAGCTGCCAAAAAATTTGTTTTCAAGGGTAAAGCTTTTCTCTCAAATTATGCTAAAAATAGATATTAACATGAAGATTTGCTAATATGAAACAAAAAGTGAGATCTTGCTCTGCAGCATTCTGTGATTTTAATAAACATTCAGTATGAGACAAATGCACTGCAAATCCCTGATTATTATATAACAGGATGTTTGTAGAAATGGAAGCTCAATCTGCTTTAGTCTTTTTCAGGACAGGTCTATTTATCTATATAAAAACCAAACCATATTTTATATACTGTAGAAATATGTAGCCACTGCAGTCCACAACTGAAAGGATTACAGAAAGGGAAATAGATCTCCAACTAGAGACGAGGAATGCTCCATCCAGTCTGGGGGATGTCTGGGCAGAAGTGCAAGAGCAACTTTGCCATCAGTCACCTGAAAGCCTCCAGGCCCTTCCTGACTTTATTGCAGCCCTGGGAGATATATAAGCCTTTATGAACCTTTGTAGACTGCTGTGCTGTCCAGTCCGTCAAAACTGCCAATGTTGTGTAGAGAGAAGGCAGGGAGGAGTTAAATCTATGACTATCAGTGTCAGGTTGCTGGCAGTCACCCAACAGCTTCACAAAAAACAGTTTCAACATTCCTACCTCCCCTTTCCAGTCCCAGTGTTTGTGTTTCAGTCAGACTTCCTGTGGAATGCTATTTGCATTCTGACTTGCCCTTCTAACTGCTTGTGTCTGGATAATAAACATGGTTGAACTAATGGCTCTTCGGAGGACATAATTGAAATGTTTATAAACAAAAAGCTATGTTTACACCAAAGTGAACTTATTGTAATAAATTCTATTCTGAGTCATGCTCAGTAGTTTCGTAAACTAAACAGAAGACAAAGCACTTGCTTATAATTTGCTGGTACTTCTTTCAGAAAACAAGTTGTTCTATGTTGGAAAAGACAGAAAACAAAAGCGCCTGGTAATTGTTTCAGATGAAGAGAAGAAAAAGGTCCTCAAGAAATGCCACAAAAGTGCTGCTGGCACTCATCATGGTATATCAAGGACACTGACTTTAGTGGATTACTAATCTAATTACTACTGGACCTCTGTAACAAATGATGTCAAGCGGTGGGTATGGCCTCATAGCTACAGGATGCTTTATGTAGTCTGTTACAAACGTTTGGTAATCCTATGAACTTTGGTACAGCAAGTACCCAGGCTGTTTCATGAGGAGGAAATGTGAAATTGCAGTCACACTACAGCTGGTCATCTTGGCAAAGCATGGCATTTCTTTTTACTCTTTTACCACTGGCTTGCACACCTCTATGGTGTGGTGGGGAGCCATGATCTCTTTTGGTAGGCAGGGCACATCTGGTCCCTGAGAGAGATTTCTTGTTTGAGAATTCTCACATATCTTTGTTAGGATGCAATGTGCCATCACAAGCATGTGTGACCAGAGTAGCTTCCAGCAGATAATATCTCTGCTTTACAATTAGGTGTGTTCAGGAAATAGTTAACACATCAAAGCTTGGGGAAGTTCCTTCTCCTTCACCCAAAGATGCAGGAGCAGGGACCCCTAGAAGAATCTGATCCTTCAGGAAACTGTATGTAAATGCCCTTTAAGGCCAAATTACCGTTGCTATCGGCTTGCTGCATCACTTGAATACTTGGAGTTCACACGAAACTGTTACATGAAATTAAAATGAATCTTTCCTTCCAATTTAGATTGGACAAAGGTGCTCTGTCCCATAGATTAAGTTGTTATACATGGAAGATTATGTATACTTCCAGTGTTTTTCAACCACAGCATACATATGTAGGAATCCAGAAATGGAGAGACATTTCTCTGTTTGTCCTATTCTCCAAAAAAGGATTTATCCTATTTGCCACTGACAGAAAGGCTTCCAAATATCCCTGGGTAAACCAGGATTTATAAAAAAAATGAGTAGAAGGTAGTAGAATGTTTAGTATGCCACTAAGATGAAAAATACAGATTTTAGATGGTTTAATACATGGAGTAAAAATGGAGGAAAAAAGGTGTGGTTTTTAGCTCTCCTTCTTCCTTCTCCATGATTCTGCAGTTTTTAAAAGCACAGAGAGTGATTGGTTGAAAGTTAGTCGCAGTTTTAGTTACATAAGTAGATACAGAAAACTTTTTTGTTAAAATATAAAAACAATACATGTGTCCCTAGTTAATAGGGTAAAAATAGATATAAAGATGAGGCAGCCACGTGGTTCAGGGCCATTTTGTACCATCAGAGCAAAATGAGCCAGTTTGCAGTGAATTGAACTTGTGCAGATAGTCTGGAGAGACCTGCCAAGTTTTGTAATAACATCCTAATGAACATGAGAAACAAGATTCTAACGAGCTCGGGAGTTTTCTTCGAACCCAGAGAACTGAGATAAGCGGGATTCCCCGTGAAGAAGTATCCCAAAGGAGCTCAGCCCAAAGGGGACTGAGAAATCCAGGAGTTAAGAAAAGTACAGAAAAAGTGCATCAGAATCGAGAGAAGAAAAACAAATTGAAAAGTTAAAACACAGATGAGCCAAAAGGGGAATGATTAGGACTTCCTTTCACTCCCAGTTGCTTCCTGCTTCCTTTATTATTTAGAGATAGTACTGGATTTTAAAATTTGTACTGTGGACTTGAAAGAGCACAGTGCTTTCAGAATGGAGAGAATTCAGCTATAAGTTCTTTTACATGTCCCTCATCTGGCCTTTAGTATTGTTTGGTCTTATTTTTTTTTATGCTGTTTCTGAAAAATCTAAGGGTAAAAAATTGTAAGAACGGTGATAAATTTGTTTTGCATTGCCTGATCTGACCTGATTTACAGACAAATAGCAGAGATCTGTAACTGGTGGTTGTCATCACCTTACTATCACTTTTCTTTTGATAACATCTTTCCTGATGTCTGCTCTAGGTGTATGCTTGCCAGCAGTGCCAGGCAGCAAAGAACATAGCCACCAGAGTGCCCAAAATACACCACATCAAAGCAGAGGACCCATGGGCTGCAGTCACTATCGGCCTAACGGGAGCTTTCAGTGTTACCAACAGAAGTCACAAATACATCATCATTATGACAGATTTGTTTACAAGATGGACTGTTATCTTACCACTGCGTGACACTTCAGCAGCTGAAATTGCCAAGGCCATCATAAATGTGTTTTTCTTATATGGGCCACCTCAAAAGATGCCTATTGATCAAGGGAAGGAGCTTGTTTATCAGGTAATTATTTACATGGCTAGTTAATCTCTTTTTATTGTTGTTGTGTTTTCCCCTCAAGAAAAAACACATTTTCCCTTACATAAGATTTGAATTTTAGATTGCTTTTGAGAAAGACTTTAGTATTTTTTTTTCTTTAATTGAAAAAGCAATGAAGTTTGCACATACAACAAGTGTCAAACCAATTATTTGCAATTGTAATGCTATGCAGTGTTTCCCAGGGCTTTATTCTTTGTAGAAAGAACAAAGTAAAATTATTTCCTGGCAGTCATAGTGCAGGTTTTGTCACTTACCTGAGCTGGCATAAATTTGTACACTGCAGTTTGCTGTATATAATTCATCCATATTGCCCAGTATAGCAATAGCTAAGGGTATTTTTGACATTGGCTTATAGTGATTATTAAGGACTTGTTGCACTTTGTTCCTCTCAGAGATGATGAAGTCATCAGACTGTGATATGGAGGTAATGACAGATTGATTTAAGTGGCAAAAATATTGCTAGGAACCATCAATCACTGGCTCCTAAGCCCTACTTACTGCTTTACCTCTCATTCACAGTCCTGGTGTGTTTTGTGCCAATATGTATGCAAAATTTTTCCCAGTCACCATCATATCAACAAAAGGGGTGAAAAACTTGGGGGTTTTTTACTTGAAATGAGATACAGAACAGGGGAAATGTTCACTAATTGTGTTCTTCTTCTTTTGAAGATAAATGAAGAACTGTTTGCACTGTTTGGAATGAAACAAATTGTATTGTCTTATCCTCAGACAGATGAAATGAAAGAATGTCCAAGACAATCAAAAGTTTCCTTAACAAGTATTGCATTGACCATCCAAATGATTGGGATGAGCATTTGTCAGCTATAGCCTATGCTTTCAATTCGACAAATTTGGTATGTGAAGGTTCTTCTTCTTTTGACTGAAGTCTTCCAAAATGTCTGTGAAGCTGGATGCTAAATTTGCTTGCTTTTGGTCCCCATATAAATAGGAGCCAGATAAAAAAACCCCATATTTCCAAATGTTCAACCGTAACCCACATGTTGTTGAGCCCATGAATATATTTGTGGAAGGAGGATACAGCAGTTTTGCCAAAATATTTGAAGCAACTAAAAAACTCAGTCAAGCATTGGAAGAAGAGAAAACCTCAGATTTCCAGGTAAATGCTGTGTATTTGAATTTTACTAGTAAGAAGACTGAAGATAAAGATGAAAAGTTCTGAGGCATAAAGTATAACTAACCTTTTAAAATAATGTGGGGGTTTGAGTGGTGGTTTCCAGTTTGTTTTCCTTCCCTCGTGACCTCTTAACTTCAGTGTAACACATCTCATATGTATTTTGAGGGAGTAACCTTAAAAGAGACCTATTGTCAGAAGTTTACTATGTCTGACTTAGAGGGCAGAATAGAGAAGTTGAAAACTATTGCCTATGGATTAGTGATTTCTGAAGTTAAAAGCAATTTCTTCATCACTCATCAGTCCCACATAATTACAAACTACACACATCCAAAACCACTCAATGTCATACTTAAGCACTTTTAACCAATGCTACAAAATTGCATTATTACTTTTTGGAAAAAAATTTTACATGTATCTTTCTGTAGGCGGACGAAAAAACTTCAGATGAACAAAAAATCAGACCCAAAATCACAGTCAAAAGGAAGACAAAACAATTAAATACCCTTCAGCTTAAAGTTGGACATGAAGTCCTCAGGCAAAGAAAAAACTGGTGGAAAGATGGTCGTTTCCAGTCAGAATGGATTGGTCCTTGTATCATAGATTACATCACAGAAAATGGCTGTGCAATACTAAGAGATTCCACAGGATCCAGGCTGAAAAGACCCATCAAGATGTCTCACCTCAAGCCTTATATAAGAGGGTCCAGTGAAAAAGGTGTATATGATTTTTTTTTAAGTTTGTATTTTTATATATGTAAAAAAAAGTTGGTTTTTTGTTTTGTTTTTTTAACTTCTCTTTTGTGGTGTTAGGTTATTAGAATGAAAAGGTGTCATTCACTCACCAGTGGGAATTATATTAGCAAACACAGTAATGTGTTTAAAAAAAAAAGCTGTACTTTTCAGTACTGTACTTTTCAGTAAGGAGAAGAGTGAGTGAGTGAGTGACATCAAACTATGCAGAGCATGTAACAGAGCTCATGAATATTGTTCAAAGTCTTTTTAAAAATAGCCTCTATTAAAGTTGCTTCTAGTCACCGGTTTGGCTCTATTTGTGCTGGCTGATAGAAGTGTAGAAACAATCTAGAAGTATAAGCAGGCTGAACTGTGTCCAAGGAGCATTTTCTGATTGTATTTCGGTTCTGGTGTAGGCAGGATTCACATAAATTTTGTTTGTGCAATGGAAACTTTCTTTTTTTCAACATTGGAGTGTCTTCTAAAGCCTTAAACTAGGAAGACTACATCATCAGAGAACTGATTTTGGAATAGTTTATTTTAAGTTGTTCTATTAAAGAAGTCAAGTGTTTCTCTTACTGGAGAAAATAAAATTGACATGCTCTGTGGTAGGATGGCTAGAAATTTACAAAGATTTGGATAACCAACTTCTACTCTTGTTAGCTTGCCCTTTGACAAATCAAATAGTGGCAGCTGTTTCTTTTCTGCTCGTGCTGTCTTTGAGTCACCAGAGGCATTTTTAAAAATATTAAATACTTGGTGTACAGAAGACTTATGTCACAGAACAAGCTGCTGTTTACTTCAGAATTCTTGAAAAGCAGAACAATTCCCACACTATTGGCACATGTGGTCAAACTTTGCTTCTTGTAAATATATAAACTACACTGATATGGTAATTTCTTCCAGCACCTCTTAAAGCTGAGAGATTTGCAAAGCTGAAACTAATTCTGGAACTTCATGTAACAAGTTGAAATATTTGTCAGTCGTCATTTTGTAACTAAGATACTGACTTCATGTCATGTCACGGGGCCACTATTTTTTGACAATCACACTGTGCCTTCTGGTTCCTCATTAAATTGCTGATGCATGAGCATATATGCTGATGCATATCAAACATATAGATAATGAACAGCTATTACAGTAACTTTGGGTAAATTGTCTCACTGTATAAAAAGCTGAAAGTAGTGGTCTTTGTAGTATTAGAGCCTAATATGTTTACCGCTGAATACTGCAGAAACAGTGTGTAAACAGAATTCCCTTTTTCAGGAAGTGACTGTCTTGGTCTTGGCTGGGATAGATTTTGGGGTTTTTTGTTGTTGTTGTTGTTGTTTGTTTTTTACTTCCCTACTTCACTTAGTTTTTAAACTTTTTACTGTTTAAGAAAGCCATCTCCGTTGCAGTAAGATTTCCCAGCGAGAGCTTGAAGAAATTACATTTTTCTGTGTGCATGCACAAAATGAAAGAATCTACATGTCCATTTATTCAAGCTGTTAGTTAAATAGGTGATGATGATAGACATCAAGCTAGTCATTGACTTAGCTAAGAAAAGCTCTAAGTGTGGATCATCACAAGAATTATTTTGTGCATTTAAGGAGATGCCAAACGTTTGATGCTCAGTGAAATTGGGAAATTCACATTATCAGTCTGCTGTCACTCAAACATTCTTGTCCTCTTTTGGAAATTGCTCTGAAAAGTAAGTTAGCACCTCACTAACATTTTAGTGGCTACAGGGATCTGAACTAATAGCTTCTTTCCTTTTACAGGCAACCATTACATTCTACAAGGTGCAGTAGTTTCTGACCATGATTATTTTGGCTTATCTGAAAGATCTGATAATTCAAACCAACCAGACTCTGTTGCTGAAAAAGAAATAAATGACTAGAAAAGAGATGTCATGTCTGCTGTGCAGATTCTACCTGCAGCCAGCGAAGACCAAGTGTCAGCTGATGAGTCTGAGGTGAGAGAAGATCATTGCATCAGATCAAACACTGCAAAGCCAGAGCAATGGCTTTCACCTTGTTGGACCCTTCAGACAAAGACAGAGGATATTTAAGCATACTCTTCTATCACATTTCATTGCCAAGCAGCTTAGAAATACTGTGACAAACTTAAACAAAAAAAAAAAAAGTAATAGCTCCAACTTATTTAGCCCAATCTGTTTTACTCATTTGTGGGTCTAAAAGTGCTTCAGGTATCTAATTTGTCTGGGTGTTAAGAAAAAGCACATATTCTGATCATGCAATTAAATTTCAGATTTTGTTGGTAGAATGGCAATGTGGCCGTGCCTTACTGTTATCCTCCCAGGACAATGCATCATTTCACTGTAATGACCTTTTCCATTTAACCCTTGGATGACTCATTCCTTATGTGTCTGTTCAAAGTGAGATGAATTAAACCTAAGCAAGTTGGTGTAAATTTTCCCTCCACTACAGAGAAGCTCATGTCTTCCTTTTCCTGTTCTATAACAGTTTTCTATTCTTTCTGGGAAGCTGCAGCCTCTGACTTTTACAACTTTTAATTTCTAGTCTAATCCATTTAAGATCTCACAAAACAATATAACTGCCAAAATCAAATGCGTGTGGTGTTCTATGCATGAAACAATGAGGGCTGCAGCTGTTCCCTGCTCATCAAAAGTCTGCTAGTGTAGACCGTTTTAATATTTCAGGCACATGAAAAAATCTCAAATGCATTTAATATTCTTTTGTGCTTTTTCCATAAGCACATTCTCCATTTCAGTTACCTCTTCATTGAGCCTGTGCACGTTGTGAGATTTTCCATGGACAGTGGGCTATGGAAGGTGAAGCACTGGTATTAAGTTATTCTCTGATTTTCTTGGGTACATTGTTAATGGTCTGGACTTCCTGATAAGACCACCGTTTCTCAAAGTCAGTAGCACAGGAATTTTTTTATATGGAAAACTGATGTGTGGAGATCTGGTTTGGTTGGTGTTTTGGGGGGGGGTTTTGTTTGTTTGGGTTTTTGTGGGTTTTTCTTTTAGTTTTTTTGTTTTGTGTTGGTTGGCTGGTTGTTTTTTTTTTTTTAATAGGAGATTGATAGGAAGATGAAGAAAACTAGCAGACAACTGAACTGAGCAATTCTGCAACTTCTGGATGGTGCTGTGGAAGATTTGCTTATCTTGCTCTCTGAATTTGTGTGTTCCTTCTCATTTCTGCTCCTGAATGTCATGTGACTTATAACACAGGTGGAGGAAAGTAGTATTTATTAGGAGCTTTCAGTTAATTTTAGGCAATTAGACTTAGTCATTAAGGCGGATTAAGTGCCTGCCTCCTACAGAAATTGACATGTACAGTGCAGTATGTCTTTGATATCATGAAATGCATCTGTGGGATGCACAGCACCATGACAGAATCCTATCTCAAACTTCAAATGAAAAATAATTAATACCCAAACTATTGTGTGTCTTCTGAAAATGCAGTCCTACAGATACAGTTTCTCTCCACCAAGACTTCAGAAAGAGTCTTCCTGAATACACTGTGTGTGTGCACACAATGGAATAAATATTTATGTGTCATGCTTTTGAGGTAAATATTAGTGTCAGGGATAAAAATGGAGAGTAAGGCATTGTTTGTAAGACTCATTTCTGCTTTGGTAGCTGCAAAAGAGAACCAGCCTCTCTTATTTTTTTCTTACTCCAAGTACTCAGTTCCTGAATTGTGCACAGTACAGCAGAACTGTTTTCTCAGGTGTGGAATTGTTAGAGCTACATTGAAGAGAAAGCAGATGCTGCAGTGAGAGAATAATGAGGAAAACACAGAAACATTTAAGTACTCTGTACATTTACCATATTGCAGATTGTTCAGGCTTCCTGATATTTTGATCTACTGTATTAACGAGCAGGTATTAGTGACTTATCAGTGCACTGAAAGGTGGCCTTCTCTGCATGGGGTTCATTGAAATAAAATACAGGGTTTTCAAACTATTGACATGAAGAACATCACTGGAAACTGGAAAAAACCCCACTGTTTTGCCAAAACTGACACAAAGAAGCAAGATTTAGCAGTGTCTTCAGGAAATGGGTACTATTCTCTTCTGCACCTAATAGAAGACTTGCTCGTCTTCTGTTTATGTCTTGGTAACCAAACTATGTAGAAATTTTTAATGAAAAGCAGTACACAAAAAGCTTTAATTTGAAGAGGAAGGCTTTTCCAGCTAGCAGTAACCAGACAGTAAACTGAATTTTAAAACATTTGATTTTGGTGCAGTTAATCCTGAGAGATGCATTCCCTGGTCAGTTCTCCTTTCGACTTGTGTATAGATGAAGGAATCTGCATCAACCTTGCTGCACTGGTAGCAGAAGCAGGTGTGCAAAAAAAAAAAACTACTGTAGGAGATAGAGCATGTCCCCTCTTCCAGGCAGTGCTGCCCTGCTACAGATTGCTAGTGCAGTGACAAGCAGATCACTTGGATACAACTTTCTGTATTTCTGTATTTCCATGTACTACTCATTACTCACATGGGTGAGCTCTTTTTTAGGTGCTTGAGAAGCATCTCAAAACTCATCAGCAGAGCTGGAGCATTCAGAGCTGCAGCTGGTGGCAAGAATTGGTGCCTTGAATATGTAAAGTGCTATCTGAGTAAGTGGGTTAAAAGGGAATAAATCAGATTTCACAAATTCAGTACCCAAAATTAGTTGATTATTTTTGGCAATTGATGCCTTTAATATCCTTATGCCTCACTTCCTCCTTCTGTAGAGAATAAGTAACACCATATCAGATTCCAGACAATCTGCAAAAAATACTCATTACTCTTCACAAAGCTGGAAGACATAGTGATAAAAGCCCCTATAGAAAAGCCCTTAAGAAAATGAATTGTGTTCTGTGCAGCATTTCAGTGATACACAGTAAATAATACCTGTGCTTCCCCACCAGATTGATTCTGAGTCTTTACCTAGTCAGAAACTTCTTCCATCACTCCCGTAGATTAAAAGACCAAGAAGAAGGAAAGCGGAGCGCATAGTTACAGTGTCATACCGGAAAATAATTTTTTAGAGCCTTAGCTTTCGTGTATTTGTCTCCCTCTGGAGACGTTCAGGATTTGTGCTGGAGCGTCGGTCGCACGGTGGCAGCCTGGAGCCGCGGGAGCCACCGCCTGCAGGAATTCGCGGGGCTCGCAGCAGCTGCTGCCCAGTGTCCTTCCGAGGGTTTCTCTCGAAATTACGTTCACAGCACAATTTTCGGTAATTTTCACATAGAACTGTCGATAATTACGGGAGCATTACATTTCCAAGAGAACATGACCTGCATTTTGTGAAGGCTGCGTGACTGACCTGTTATGTAATCCAGAGTATAAAACAACTTGTGTATTAGTTGGTTTTATGCCACAGCTGCCAACTATGGTAAACTTTCAGTACAGCTTTACACCTTCCCAAGAACTGCTCATCTTTCACTTGGTTGCGGTGAGCAGGATCTCACAGGGAAGCGCCTGGAATAAAGCCATGCCTCCACTTCCTTATGTGTGGCAGTGTGTGTGACCTGAGAGCCGATCTGAGGAAACATGGCAGAACTGTGGGACTCAGTCCCTTTTTTTTCCAAGTAATTATCTCTTGAGCAGCCATTTTAGGACGTGTCAGGGCTGAAGGAAGAAGTAACAGAGGCCGGAGGGTATTCAGAGCACTGAGAATTGCAGTGGCCAGGGCAGCGTTCTGCCCTGAAACCCTAAATAATAAGTAGCACAAACTTCGGCTTCTTACGGCAGTTGCCTAATCTCCATTCTGAAAAAAATCTCCAATCCTAAGTAAAAACATTAGCATCTTATGTCTCAGAAGAATAAATGTAGTCTGTAATTAATAATTTCGCTAGTTTGCTGAACTGTTACCACTATTTTCTAGGGAAAAAAATTACTCCACTGCATCTTTAAACCAGTACTTTGGCACAGTGCCCTAGAATACTGCCCATACATCACCTGTATATTTTCTAAAAGCTATGCAGTGAAATCAGACAGAACTTCACTCACATGATGTCATGCTTCACATGCAACTCATTAATTTAATAAGAAACATGAGTGGAATGGAGATAAAGAAAGAAACAGTGTAAAGTGCATTCATGACCTGAAGTATTTAGAAAAAATCTAGTGCAGCTTCCAGGTTGACTACCATGCACTATCTTTCCAAAATAACACCAGCTGAATGTTCTTTTAGGTTTTTTGGCCACCACATCTAGAAATAGCAAGAAGTTTGCATGTTTTGCTTGGAAAAGTAGCTATCACTGTAGATTTTAAATCCTCCTCTACATTGTCAGCTCTCCTCTTCTGCCAGTAAGGCTTAGCTATACAGATGTAATACATAGCATAAATAAATTTGTGCTAAAATTATAATCTTGTCTGATAAGAATCCTAGCATATTTCCAGGAAACCTTCTCTGACAAGATTATAGTGATATGCACCAAGGCCAACATGAATATTTATCTGCAAGCAGTGTATTCCAAGAGACCCCCGAAAAACCTGAAAACATATAAAAAGCACCCTGGGACAGTCAGAATTTGTGAAGCATGGTGGGGAATGAGAACTGTGATTCATAAAGCTTGTATCTTCCTTTTTACATTAATTTTTCTATTGAAGTATGAAGTCTCTAGTACATTGTTTTCATAAAATGCAGCTTTAATAAGAGATAAAGAACATTCAGTGCCTTCAAGTAGCTTCAGATGTTCCAGTTTTGCCATTGTACCTGTACAAAATTAGAGCATGAAACTGAGGTGCTGATATTTGATTGCTGCTGGAAAGTAGTTGGTTGCCTCTCCATGCAGTTATTAAAAATTACAGAATAGCTTGGGTTGAAAGCGACCTTAAAGATCACCTAATCCAACCCCTCTGCCATGGGCATGGACACTTTCCACTGGACCAGGCTGCTCAGAGCTCCATCCAACCTGGCCTTGAACGCTTCCAGGGATGAGGCATCTACAGCTTCTCTGGGCAGCCTGTGTCAGTGCCTCACTATGCTCAGAATAAACAACTTCTCTCTAATATCCAACCTAAATATCCCTCTTTCAGTTTAAAACCACTGCCCCCTTGTCATATCACTACAATCCTTGGTAAAAAGTTTTTGTCTTTCTTATAAATCCACTTTAAGTACTCAAAGGCCGAAACGAGATCTTTGGTGAGCGTTCTCTTGTCCAGACTGAAAAACCCCCAACTTCAAGAGAGGTACTTCAGCCCTCTGATCATCCTTGTGGCCTCTCTGGACCCACCCAAGAGGTCCACATCCTTCTTATTTTGGGGACCCAAAGGCTGGATGCAGCACTGCAAGTGGGGTCTCACCAATCTGGTCCTCCATCCTGCTTCTCTATAGGCAGCCCAGGATTATTGTAGAGACCAATGTCTGAATTCCACAGAGCTGAGATTACAATTAAAGCTATTTTAGCTTGTACTTGCAATTAAACTGTTTGGCTGATTCCCTCTCATCAAAGCATTATCTAGAATTGGAGACACAGCTCAAATAAAGGAAAGGACAAAGAGGGAAGCTGCACATTACTTCCACTGAGCTCTGCTAATGAAGGCCAAGAACATTATGTCACTTAGACAAAACGTGAGCTAACCAAATGTTAGAAAAATATACCCTTATTGACTACTTTTAAGAAAACTCTGCAATCTTTTAGAACTGATGGCATATACACCATCTATGAAAGCAGTGTCACCACAGCTTTCTTAACTGCTGTCACTGGAAACTTCCTGCAAACTAGTGACTTAGCATTTTTGCAGACAGCTTCAGAGGATTCTTCTCAACTAACTGATTTCTTTTTATTCATATACACAAGGATCAAGGCCACAGCCAAAAATAATACTTGCATTCAAAAGTGAGAAAGAAACACCTTGTTTTCCTTATAACATTAGGAAAACAAAAATTTGCAGGAGAGGAAGCAACTTAAGAGTATGCAGAAAATACATTTCACATGAAACTGCCTGTACTC